CAGGAATGATGGCACAATGAGCCAAAGGGCCAAGGTAGGAGTCACGGAGGGGCTGGAGTTTGGGGCAGGGATGTACTGAGCAGCCTGTGCATGGGCTACTCACACATGTCTGCCCACCTCATGTGAAAAACAAACGGCGCTTTCAGCACAGAGAGGCAAGAAAAAAGCTACTTGGTGTGAAAGCCCCTGGATCCAACTCTGCCAACACAGACTGATTTAAACTGGAACTGCTCGCTCATGAGAGAGACTGCAGTTCTTCGGCTGTGTGTGTCAGACAAGTGTGTCAGACAAGTGTGTCATTCCCCCACGCTCCCACCTGTCTTCTGCAGTGAGGAGTGAGCAGCTCTTGGGGGGTGTTTCTGCAAGAACTCATTTCTCAAAACACTCAGTTTTGGCTAAGAAACTGGACAAATGGAGGGAAAACAAGAAAAAAAAGTGGGGCTATTCTGCAAACAAAGCATTTGCAAGGGTTCATCCTTACCTTCCTCTTCTCATAATCCAAGAACTTGTTCTGAAAAATAAGCATATCAGCAGACATTTACTCCCAGGGGCAATTTTTTGTAACTATTATCAACCCACATTATATCTTCCCCTAACTGAGTAAAGACATCAACCAAAGGCACAAGAAGATTAACATAGCCACAAAGTCCAATCATTCACAGTTCTCCAGGGTCAAAGAAATTTACTCTGCACTTGCTAAACAGCACAGGAATTAGCACAGCTTATCACAACTACATGCCTAGCCTCACCTTTTCCAGGCAGGGCTGGACAGGCCTAGCAGTTGCCTGGGAATCACAAGCTGCTTCTGCAGTTTGCTGTTCACCTCAAAAAAACACGTGTTACCATGCTGCACACACCATGTCACACTGTCACCCCTGTCCCTTGACTGCATCGTTGCTTTCAAGGACGGAGACAGTTCTTTACGATCCGTGTTCCAGGAGTCAGCAGCGGTAACACCATCCCCGACTGTCGGGGAGGAGATGAGCCGCCCACGCCCACAGTGCTATGCCTGCTTCTGGGCACTGTTGCTCTCTTGATCCTAAAAGACATATCTCGTGGTGGGGAAGGTGATGCAGGATGATGTGCTAATACTGTGAGATCCATTGATGGAGCAGAGAGACAAATACAAAACCCTCTCGCACAACTTCACACGCAGTGGAGCCTCACCTGCCACTCGCTCTCCTCCTCCAAGTACTTATGCACTGCCCTGTCCACCCCATCAACTGATGTTCCTCCTCCATCACTCTCCAGCGTGGGGAGCAGATACTGTGAGGGAGGGTAGTACGCAATTCCACACTCTGGAAGGTATCAGACACAAAACAAGAACATTTGGTGCTTAGAGACCTCCTTGGCAGCATGGCCGAGGTCTGGCTGGTGTGTGACACTGCTTCCAACTGTGCTCCCTCTCCCCACACACAGATGAGCACCCAAAAGAGCTCCTTCAGCTCAGGCAGCCTTCACAACAAGAAGCTCTGAGGAGATAGTGCCACCCCGTTCCCACTCAGAAGACGATCAAAGCTAACCTGTGCAGAGGGAAACAATTCCTTCACACAGGTACAGCCATGTTGACTTCTGTAGGGCTGCAAATGTTACTGCCCATATTAAAATAAGTTCTGACTGTCCTTTTATTTCAGGGATTAGCTCAATGTCTGGCAAGTGTTTACAAACTCACAGTAACACATTATCTTTGTCCTCTGAGCTTTCCATCTGGTTTCATCTTTCCCTTAACAAACCATGAGTCTGCAGCCCCCAAGTCATTTCTCATAGAAAATGAGGGTAGAAGGGACCTCGAGTGACTACTGAGTCTATCTCCTTGTCCCAAGGCAGCTAAACCTGGACAATGCCTGATCCTCCCACTTGAGAAAACACAAACAAGAAAACAAAATCACAGCGAGATGCAGTGACTTCTTACGGTCACTCAGACAGTCTCTGACTCAGCTGTTCTGGTGTTTTAACAAAACCATTATAAATTTCAGTGTGACAGTAAGAAGCAAGTCTCAAGGAAGGACTCCTGTTTTGCTGTCTGCCAGCAAAGACACACAAGTCACTGACCAGCCTGCCACGTGTGCAGAGCATCAGAAACCACCTCAAGTAGAGCCAACCCGCTATTTGCCCTTCATTAATGCAATCTTTGAACATGCCACAACACCTCACGAGAGCACAGCGCAGTCCCCCAAGTTCTCCCTACCATCCACAGACTCTTCGTGCTTACCTTTGCAGAGGAACTGCTGAATGGACTCTGTACCTGCACTGCAAATATCAGGCGATGGATAGGTCATGGAAGAAGCATCCAAGGTCAGCGTCTCCAGAAGAGAACACACAGAGCTGCAGGTTATTCTGGTGACCTTGAAACTCCCCAAAATTTCACTTATGGAGTGATAATTTCATGTCACCCTAAATTCTGACATAAATACGAGTTTGTATTGAATTTCTGCTGGGTGTTTGACACCTTTCAGAGGTGGCTCCACTGACTCTTATTTGGCAGCTTCTGAGCTGGTCCTCCAGTGGAACATCTCCCTCATGCAGACATGTCTAGTTTGTGTTTAAGTACAAAAGGGCACAGCACTTCTCAATTACAGAAATTTTCTACTACTTTCTGTATGCTGGAGCCCTTAAGCATGACGCCTGGAAGGGATGGTGATACAAAGGACACAGAGAGAAGAAGGGTACCAGTAAGAAAAAGTGGAAGGACCACTTACTGTGGCCACCAAAAGGACCTAATGTTGCCTCCTCCAGAGAAGGGCTTATCAGGAAGGCCCAGAAAGGAACCACTTTAGCAAGCACGGGGGGAAAGTCGCACAGATCCCTCATCTCAGAGACTGCCCACAAGAGAAGTGAAGCCTAATGTTATGTGTTCGAGACATGCATTTATTCGCATCCTCCATGCTGGTGTCTGAGTCAGCCCTGTTGCCTGACATTTGCACAGTTTAGTACTGACAAGTTTGGCAGTCAGAAGGCAACACGTCCATAAAAATCTTGACGCTTGTCCCATTTTGAATGTGCACTCCAGGGAGACAGAAACCTACGGAGGCTGACAATGAGTCAGAGATCTGTCACGGCAATGGAGGCAAAAACCTCACCGGAAATAACCCATCTGCTCATTTAGAATCAGCCTTGGTGGAAAGCGGCTGAGTCAACCTAAGCCCACAGGCACAGTTTGTGCTCTCAGAGAGACAGCTCTGGCACAAAATACCTGGGGGTTCACTCCTTGTGGATTGCTTTTGTCATGATTAAACCCTGGCAAAAAGTGGACAGAAAAGATCAATGTAGGAAGGGTATGCAAAAGCTATTTTGGACACCATGAATCGCACATAGCCATGTTACAATCCCCGACAGTGGGTCCTGCCGAAGCCCCAAAAATTCACTTCCTATGCTAAATTTATTATCGTATTGAGCAAGTAGGAAGGGAAGCAGCCTGCAGCAGAATAAACAGTCTGCCAAGGGGAGAGACAGACACGGTTGGCTGGGTGCGTACCTCCAGCGTGCGGATGTGAGCCAGCACCCGTGGCAGTTCTTGCAGCACGTTCTCACTGATATCCAGACTGCGCAAACTCCGCATGCCGCTCACTGTAGCGGGCAGTTCCTTCAGCTTGTTAGCTAGAGGGAGAAAAGTCATTTAGTACCACATAACTTTTCCAAAGCAGGACCCAGCAAGTTCATCTGCTGGAACACCAAGCCATAATCATACATATGACTCATTTTCTATACTCTGCTACAGGGACACGGCTGTCATGGGTCACACGAGGACTCTAAATGCTGCCACTACCCACCAAGGCAAATGGGGATCAAGATCTACTTGCACACAGCCCAAGTGCACAGTTCCAGCAGTGGTTCCTCATGCTGAAACAATCTTCTCAGCTGAGGTCACTGCTGCAGGCTGGATCTGTGCTCTTTATCAGGAGAATACTCGCAACATGGAGTCCTCTTCCCTTCGGTGCAAGTACGAGAGATGGGAGAAAGGGGACTGAGTGTGGGATTGCACATCTAGGGGTCAGAGGCCAGGTGCTGCAGACAGATACAGCAATGAACTGAGCTGCACTTCCAAGTTCCTCGCCCTCCACTTCCTCCTCTGTTTCAGCAACAGCTCCCAGTAACAAAGTCTCCTTTTTCTCCCAAATTATTGGCATTGCATACCTGGAAAATGCCCAAGAGTCTTGAAAAGAGGTATGGTTGTGACCTTTGTGTTAGGGCCGTGCAAACCTGGCGGGGTTACACAGGCTCACAGGACCAAGGTCTGGGTGTTGGTGGACTTAACAGTAATTCAGCTTATCAGGGCTGACTGCTCTGCTTGCTTTACTGAACTGCTTCTGCCAAAGATCTACTATTTCCTTACACTTGAATCTGCATAGACAGATTTCTTAGGTTGGTCTAAATCATTATTCAGAGGGGGACAAACCCTGGCCTGGGACTGCTCTTGCAGGGCACACACAGCGCTCCCAGCTCGAGGTGGGTCTCATGCTGCCAGAGGAAGATGTGTGCGTCCAGCCCTCTCGGCACTCCTCGCTGCAAGAATAAAGCAACTGGGGCTCTGAAATGCTGTCCACGTGCAGGCACACAAATAAGCTTTCAGCTGTTGAGATCGGGCACGATGACCCAACAACCTCTCCTTTGAGAAAAGGCAATAAGATGAATGAAAACATCGTATGGAGCAAACTTGAGCCAAGAGCCATGAGTTGAACCACACGGCAGGGAACAGTGTGTGCATTTGCTAAGAAGCAGCCTAACAATCCTAGTTACTCCTAATAACTTGGGGAATTTTTAGGAATTATTTTCAGCTTAGATGATTTCCCCTGCCTTGCCAACCATTTGAATTCAAATCTTTCTTGTGCTGTTCCTTAGCATTCACAGTGTAAACCATTTGGTGCTTGCTTTGGTTGAAAGGAGTAATTACTAATGCAGCTCAACACGGCCCAGATAATAAATGCTGACACAACCCAGATAATAAATGGTGCTTTGCCCAGAGCACCAACAAGAAATATGTGCCATACCTTTCACATTGAGCATCTGGAGCTGGGCAAGGTCTCCTATAGATTGTGGAAGACATTTTAAAAGATTCCTTTCAAGGTTTAGGACCTAAGGTATCAACAGAAAAGATATTCAAGATATTCTTTATACAAGTCTTAGGTCTTCTACACACCTATGCTGTTGGAACTACTTTCAGGCCCAGAAGGACAACTTGAAATTGATTTTAGACAATACTTTCTGAGTTAAAAAAAAAATTTCCAGAAGCCTTGGATACAGGGTCTGTCTAGGTACCGCATGCAGTGAGAAACCCTATTCACAACCAACAGCAGCAGCAGGTGCTGAACCCAGATGCAGGACCTGGGAACCAGAGCGTCCTCCCCTCCAGGGCAGCACTTCCCCACCCTGGCTCCCACAGGGGAGCAGTGACTGAACCTAAAGCTGCACCCTGAGCAGGCGGGACCCTCAGCGTGCACTACAACACACTGCATTGCGTTCTCAACATAATCACACCAGGGAGAATGCTAAAACCTGAATATTTGGGGAAATTAATGGGACTGGAAGCTCCAGCTCTGCTTGCTCATAGCACCTGCTTGGCAATGTGAGCCATTTGGACTGACAGCCCTTGCACTAAGCTGGGACTAAGCTGCTCTTCTCCTGCTCTCCCGCTCCAACACGCCAGTTCAACAGCGACAGTCAAGTCAATGAGATAGATCTGACAATATGAGCACCATCATTTAAGTTGTGATTAATTATAAAACAAATAGCAGTAACCCCATATTCTTGCTGGCCTGTAACATGCCCTCTACAGACATTTGCGAAGTAGCCACAGATCTTTCACCTGAAGAGATGTCAGCTGACCATTTGAAGCGATGCCAGCTGGTTGTCATGCAGGTCTAGAACCTGTAAGAGTAGACGATTTCACCAAACAAGGTTGGGAAAAGAAGTCATAGTGCAAGAATGAAAGGTCATTAAATAGCTAGCAATGAAAATTACTTCCTTTCCAACAGGGCTTTGAAAAGTGTCTTAAGTTTTCAAGGAGACATAGACACATAATTTTTGTAGGTCTTTTGAAAACTCAAGCCTCTACACATCAATAAACAAACAAAAGACAAAGGGAGAGCAGTGACTCCAAGGCAGATGTTCCACAAAACTGGATGAGCCAACTGGATAAATCATGTCCATGGAGCCAGCTTGCCAGAAGAAGACATTTTCTGCAGGATCAGTGAGCTGAACTGCTCCATGGAAGCTGAACTGCTCCAACACCAGCGCTGGCAAAAGGAGAGGGCAGAACTATGCCTGGAGACCTCCCTCCAAGGGGAGAACTGAGCTGCTGGAATGGCTCTGCCTCTTGTGGAACCACAGCATGAGGGTGGTGGAGCTGAAAGTCCTCAGCATTTCTATGACAGATACGGCGATAGAGCCCCATCACATGGTCACCCATCACCAGTTTCATTCACTTTCAAATGACCCACCAGTGCAAAAGACAGACGGATCTAGCCTGCAACACACTCAGCCATGACTGACCACCACTGAGAGAGGCTGTTGAGGGGGAAAGTGTGGGATTATGAAGAGGATAAATGAGTCCTGGAACTGATCATGATTTTATAGAAACTGCTCAGTGACCGCTATCTGTCTACGTGGGAGGTAAATCTAGGAAAGGCAGGTTTCACACCTTGTTACTGATTCTTGGCGAAGACAGTCAGACAGAAGGGATTTATTTGGGTGAGTGTGTTTTAATGCAGCTAGAATGCAAGGAAAATAGGCTGCAGATTAACTGTTAAGAATCACAATTACCTTCACAGTTATGAGACTCAGGAGGCTGCAGGACTTTGGAACTAAAGATGTCAGATTATTCGTATGAATAATCAGCACCTGAGGAGGAAAAATCCCATTGAAACATGAACAAAAGAGACACTGCTGTCTAGAACACGCACACGTGTTGAGATTTAACTGCAGAGGCTGTATAAGAGCTCAATATCTTACTCAGTATCATATAAAATATTAAAATAGTAAATGGATTTTCACAGAAGGTCAAACATTTAACATGAGCTCTAAACAAGAGCCTAGTTCCTTACATGAGAAATATCATTAGTAGGCTAAGATAGAAATAACCATCTTATCTTTCATGACAGCTCTGAAGCACAGGATTAGTCCTACCCAAATTGCTCTCTATGTAGTATCATACAAGTGGCCAAATTCATTACAAGAAAAATTCTTCTGAAGCAACATATAAACAACCACATACAGTCATTTCAAACACAACAATAATACTCAAGCATAATAATAGAATTATCTAATAATTTCCATTTGCAACATTACCTTTTTTTGCAAGACTTTACAAGTTGCAAAGGCCCCATAAGGAACCTAAAAACAATTGAAAAATAGTCGTATCAGACTTCTCAAGATACTGTCTTTGTAAGCACTTCTACAGTATCCACCTGTAAAGTGTGAAAAACTAACTTTAATGAAAATGCAAGTGACACTTAAAATTACTGGCCCCTGGTTGTGGCCCATTAGCTTCCATTTAAACAGCCTGCAATGTCTCTCCACAATACAACAGTGTCGTGCATGGCACAGAACACACAAAGGTTTAGGCAGAAATCCAAGTCTTGCATGATTTAACATTGAATGTGCAGATGACTCAAGAGTTCAGGCATATTTTCAGTTAGTCATCATACAAATGTGTTCTATGGTTTTGCAACCTCGGCAAACACACTGCAGTGGGTTAAATGAGAAAGGTGAGCAACAGGCAGGACTGTGTCCTTGTATGTGCTAGGCTCTGCAGGAGAGAGGCAGTCAGAAAAGGGATATTCCAGCAAATTCAGCCCATGCCAACAAGGCTGAGCACCGTGATCTGCTCTGCAGCATGGAACTGGCATCAGCCAAATTCTTGTCCAGAGTTAATTTTAAGCCCAAACTGATGGCTCCCTTTATTTATTGAAACAACAAAGGCTAAAAAGAAACAGCAAGACAGAGTTTTATGGTACCAATCCAAAAGGAGCCACTGGGGGTCCAAGACCAGCTGCAGCTATGAATGGAGCTGGCTCAGTGCACTCCTCTGTCTGCCACGTTTTTACCCAGACTGGCTCACAGACTGTCCCAGTCAGCTCTCAAACCTATACACAAGGTGCTGTTGCCTTCTGATCTTGGAACAAAACATCCCAAAGTCCCAGCAAAGCCATTTCATACTGCACAGCAGACAGCTGTCCTCTGCAGGACAGTCCCAAATCTCTCCCAAAGAGCAGTGCAATATCTATTAGCTTGCTGGGCAAAGGCATCCTGGGACAAAAGGTTACACAGGTACCAACATTTTAGAAACATGAGATAATTAATAAAAACTGAAAGTTTCAAGCTTCTGCTTAACAGGATTGCCTGGCCACCAGGATGAAAAGCTCTGTCTCTTCTGCATGCCTGGGAATCTCTTACTAAGTACTCACACTCCAGCATACAGCTTGTTTCTAATTTAATTGGCTGCCATAAAAAAAAAGCCAATCTGGAAGTGACATTTCCATCCTTAACCAGCAGCCTGGAACCAGGGATTTTCACTTATACAGAAAAATAAGCACAAGTGGCAGACTTTGTAGCTTTAAGATTAGAAAGAGTCAGCCTTTGGCAAACATATTTGCTCATGACTAGCAAAATTAGGCCAAGAGGTCCCAAACTAGGGTCCTACCAAGGTACTGGTGGAGGGTATGAGACCACTCTGCCCTTCCCATCTTGTCAAATGAACAGGGATTCCCAGGACAGAAACATTGTTGAAGCATCAGGTAGGACAGGCAATCTCCCACAAAAACAAAGAAGAAGCCCCCCTGTGAAAGCCAGAGCTCAGCAGATGTAGGAAGAAGTGGGCCAGTAACAAGGCCATTTCTGTCTCAAGGCTCATAGACATGACACTGAATCTGACAGTTGGTAACCAGAAGTACACAGAGGAATCAGACCTGTGAGCTAATACTGGAAGTTGCAGAGAACATACCTCTGAGAGTTCACATTTGGATATGTCAAGAATGTCATCAGCACCAGCTTCTTTGGCCTGGGGAGAGAAGATGAGCATACAGAGAATTAGACCACGCAGAAATACATGGCCTCTTGCTGCATATTGACTAAACTACTCAGCTGACCTCTCCCTAGAAAATGCAATTCCAGTTCGCTGCCGCAGCTATGTAATTCATTGATGACTCTAGAAGCAAAGGGTTGGCTGCTACAACTGCAGCAAGCAAAAGCAACTGGGAAACCAAACTGTAGAAAAAACCCTTTGGTGCAATAAATTAATTTCTGCGCAAAGAATGAAAGCACATCCTAATTCTGCAATTTTAACTGAAAGGATATGGAAAGGAAATGCTGGGTTCTGAAGCACCAGAGAGGCAATTCCTAGAGCAACAGTAGTGCCACCCTAGCCTGTAAAGAGCCTGTTGTGTCACTGGCATCTCTCACCCAGCAGACTGACCTTCTTCTGAATCGTACACAGAAACCAAAATAACTTACTATTGCCTTTTTGCTTCCATGGGACATGCAGAGCCAGCTCTGCTGCAGAAGAAGGAGCAAGGATTCACTGTTTCTGTACAAAAGTGGTTTTCCATGTTCAAATCAATTACATCCAATGCAGCTGCTAACAGCAATGAGACCAGACAAACCTCACCGTGAGCACCCCTGCGACTCTGGACTTATTTTCTTAAATAAAAGGTACTGCACAAGGCAATAAACCTGCTTGTGTCAGTGCCTCTGTTAAGTCTTCAGAACGGGATATCTTGACCATAAACTAAGCACAGGCAATACAGAACTAATCCTAGAATGGACAGATTAAGCTATACCTCCCCAGCCCCACAGGAGCTGAACAGAAACCCTCCGACTGAATAAATTCAGTAGAACTGGTTTCATTATTGGTACATAATGAAACCTTCCTTTCCAAAATACCTTACAGACATCAAACAGGCATAATTTTGTCACTTTTAAATGCAGGTGCCTCTAGGGTAGAGCACAGCAGAGCCCCTATGCCAGCTTGGTCGACAGCTCCTAGGGCAGAATACGTGAAATAATTCAAAAGAAGATTGCTTTCAGAAAGCTAACTTTAAATCTGCAGCTGCTGTCAGGCAGGTAGTTCTGCTGACCTCGCTAGCATGACAGCAACGTGCTGGGGATCTACCCCAAAGGATCCTGGCTAAATCCTAGTCCGGGAAAACAAACAGTAACATCTAAAAACTTAGTCCTCTGAGTGATAGGAATAAAAGAAATAATAATGAGAAGCAAAAGAAAGGCACAAGGAAAGCCAGGTATGATGGGAAAGGGGATGTCACAGGTCCCTTGGCAGGAAAAGCAAACTGGGAGACCTGTAAGAGTGAAGGGACAAGGAGAAGAAAGGAGTGATGGGGCCTCAGACGCAGGCTGGCAGGAGGTGCAGTGGGGTGGAGGATGTTACGTGGAACCACAAAGGCAGAGAGGGATGGAAGTGGCAGGAAGGGCACCTGTGGATGGGAGGGCAAAAAGAGAGACAGGGAAAGCAGGAATTCTCTGATGTACCTTAGGAAGACGACCTGCTGTCTTGACGAGATCAGTAGCACAATTACTGGTAACACAAGGGATGTACTAAGTCACCCAGCATCCAGGACGAGACACAGAGAACAGAAAAGACCTCAGCATTGCTTACCAGGCACATTTGGTATTCAAGGCGCTTCCGAGCATCATCGCTGGGTTTCTTCTTACGGAAGAAGAGTGGCATCTTTAGTTTTGACTATCGATCCGTCTCAGCACAAATGATCAGCGTAAATAAAGGCAGAGGGCTCCTGGAGTACGTGTTTGCTGGGGAGCATGGACTACAGAACTGTGCTCTAATAAGTGGGCAAAAAAGGAAGAAAAAAGACAAAAATCACTGTCTCAGCAACTGTCGTTGTTTAAGCCCTTCTCTGGCTTGATCAAACAGGCAGATTCCAGCACACCTCCACAGTGGAAGTGTTAACACGAGCTGCAAGGACACTGCTGTGTCTCTGAGATGGGTTGATTGTCTTGGTCATCCCTGTGCAAGATAAATTAAGTCAAGCTGGAGTATGTACAGAGAAAGGCTATTGAGTGGTCAGGAAAATGCAGGGTACGCTCTAGGAATGGAACTAAAAAAACTGTATGAGGAAATCAAGCATGAGGGACAAAACCCAAACTATTTAAACTTGAAGTCAATTCTGGCACAACAATAAGCAACTGTAAAATGTTCTACAATAAAGTTAGGCTAGAAATGTGACACACTCCTAATTCTGAGAGCAACACAGCTGCCTTCCCCTTCCAGGGCAGGTGAGAATAAACAAGACCTCCATGCAGTTCAAAATACAGATAACTGTTTGCAAGGGACTTGATGCCTATGGAGTACGGCAGAGCCTCCTCTGGCACGGCACACAGCTATCCCAGACACTTCCCGGGACATTACGGAGACCCCAGACAGGCACCAGAATTGGGATGCCCAAGCTAAACTTTGCTTCTCAGCTTCAGGGGTTGTCTCAAGTTAACAAAACACTTGCTTCATTTGCTTTCCAGGCAGAAGCAGTCTTGCACAAGGAGTACTTCCCCCATTTTAGTCACACAGTGAGATGAAAAGGTTGTGCTTAAACATCTAATAGCTTAAAGTCAGATTTTTAATAGGCTTACAAAGCCAAATCAATTTCCAATAGTCTATTAACTGCCTGCAAAGCTAAAAGAGCACAACTTCAGAAAAACTCTGACTACAAACCAGAGCTGATCACCGCTGCCTCAGCCATATGCCAGGGTGAGCTATCTCCCTCCTGGGCACCAAACTGCTTCTCCCAGGCTGTGTGCCTCCAGGTCAGATTGCCATACTCCATCCTGGGCTTACAGGGCAGCCAGACCTTCCCCAAAATGGTTGTTCCAGGTCACTACAGGCCTGAGAGCTGGAGAATGTTTTTCTGTTAATTCAACTCAACTATATGCAAAGACACCAGCTGATTCAAGTGGAAAAGGAAATTGAACCAGATAGAGGAAAAAGTCGATTGCAGTTAAGAGACCTCGTGAAATCAGAACTGGAGGTGGGTGAAGGGGTAACAGAAACTGGAGTCAGTTCTGGAAGAGGACTGAACTAGCAGAGGAGAAAAAGGGAGTGTGTTGGCGGATTTTGTGGGAAGGGCAGAAAGCTAAAGTTGGACAAGAAATGGGGAGACCAGCTGGTAATTAGATGGGTACCAGTTGGGGTGCTGGGAAAAGAGATGGGGACCAGCTGAGCAGTAAAATCAAGGAGAAAAATGGCAGGGCTTCATCTGAGCCTGCATGAGAGCAGGGGGCAAAACCTGGCAATGCAGAAAGAGTCCAAGTTGGGGCTGCAGATTAACAAGGACTCACAAAGGGAGCTGATGCAGGCAGGACTGAATCTGGCTTGGTGATCAAGACTGGGATAAGATGAGAGAAGAGCAAAAGTGCAACAGTGAGCCCAAAAGGAGGAGATTTGAACTGGCTGGGCAGGAAGCCTTGGATTACTTGAGGAACCTAAGCAGCCATGATCAGCGCTGCACGGCAAAGAGGGTGGGCCCAGGCGGGAGCTACAGCTGCCAAAAGTCCAAATCGAGATACCCGCTATGAAGCTTGCACTGGAAGTTTCACTTTGCAATGACTTTTTAAAACATTGTTTTAATAAGCAATTTTAAAAACAATACAAAAGTGTCAATACTTCACCAGTTCACCAGTAAATGGCACAGCTATACAATGCAGTTAACTTAGTGCTCAATGAAGCTCATGCGTTGTACCTAAAAAAGATGGTTCTCTGTCAGCCATGTGTCTAGAAATTGGTCTCAAACTATACCGAAAAGCATGTACCCACAGGATACAGCCAGAGATGTTCCTTGCGCATGAAGCTCTCTGCCAAAAACTAAAGAGAGCTTCATGTAGATAAATCCTTAGTGTAAAAGCAAAACATAACTTCAGTCTAAGTGCATCCAAGCAACTACTCTTCATTTCACTCCAGAAACAAGGAGGCAAGGATGTCCTGTTTCACTGTACTGCTGTCATACCACTCCACTGGAACAAGCTATGAGACACAGCAGAAAGTGGCTACCAACAAACTCATTCTTTGCATTATAATCAAACTTGTAACAGTTTCGTGGTTCCTTCCCTGCCATCCCACTTTGCTGTCTTTTCAACAAGTTCGGACTACTGAAATGCCCCTCAGACTCCCCCTCCCCCAGGAGGGGAGGCAAGAGCAAAAATTCCGAAGATTAAGCAAGAAGGGAAGTTCATTGTCAGAAACTACAGTTTGGAAATGCAGGAAAGCAATCAAGAGCCATAAGCAAGGGTCAGACATCACAGACAGAAACAAAAGAAGGAAATTTAAAGATGAGAAACCAGAAGGACAAGGGCACCCGCAGTAAGATATCCTTTGCTGAACATGTTCAGCTCTTTGCTATGGAGTTATGCATCCCCTTGTCCTGTCTCACCTTTCTCTGTTACAGCTAGTTATTATTAGTCATGTGGATAGTGGAAAATCATTATTTAATTTTCACCCAAGAAAATACAGACATGAAGGCTGAGGGATAGACAGTTGAACAGAATCATATTAGGGGTCAAAAGATGAAGGATCAGAGACTTGTTAAATGGATTGAACAGCTTTTAAATGTCAAAACTTGCCTTTGTAAAAAGACATGTCAAACCTGCAAACAGCAAAGCTGTGCCTCTCTCTGTGACATTGTCTTTATGTGTTCTGCTGACAATCACCAATTTTAAGTGAAACTAGCACTCAGCAGTCAATAACGAGAAGGGCCTTTGGCATGTGACCTTATTTTAAATGACATAATTTTTATTTATTCAGTTATTGAAAGAACTATCTGTAAGTGCCTATGATAGCACCCACCCTGCAGTAAGCGAGCGTCCACAAATTGCAAATCCTGTGTCCCTATGGATGCCAGTGGCTGGTCTTTGCAGGCACCTGCTCTGCCTGCCTGAGCAGCAGAAACACATACACAGGGCAAGACAGGGCAAGGGAATGTCCACTGTGCATTTTACAGTCTGCATCTGTTTGGATGCTGACTGTAAAATAAAAACAAAACCCTAATTTTACAAACAAATGTAATTAAAGTGAAACAGCAACATTGCTATATAAAAAGACCCAAACTCCAATTTTTAAAACATTCTGGACATCATAAATACAGTATGGCACTGTAACAGACAAGATGGTGGTCTGGAATGAAGAGAGATTTTATTTTCTCTAGGAAAACAGGAGCACAGCAATGCAGCAGTGAGCCAGCATTTGGATCTGAGTGGGGCTCCTGCAGAGATGCTGCCTAGTCATGAAGGACAGAGCTGTCACCAGACATCTCTCAGGCAGCAGCTCTTGCTCACTGAGAGGAAGGTTATCAAGCGACTAGGAGCGGTAGCAGCAAGCCCTGCAGCCCAACGTGCACTGGAACAAGATTCAGGAAGGAGACAGAAGGCGAACTGCAGCTTTGTAACTTAAGTCTCCCACAGCACATTCTTTGTGCCGGAGAGCTGTCATGACAGGTGTACCACTCCCTGTAATAACCAGGCTCTGCTCGATCCTGTCAAGGACCTCCCCTGGCAATGCCTGAAACAAATCTCCCCTCTTCTTCACCAGCTCCAGCTCTGCCTCTCAGTCCTTTCTTTCCCTTATTGTCACTACTCTCTTCTTCTTTTTCTTCTTCTCTTTAGGGATTCCCTGCAGTGTCCCCCTCCCAGGTTTCACATAGCTTCCAAAGGCTATCTTTCCCGGTCCTCCTCTTCTTTACTCTTTTATCAGCCAGAATGGAGCCGTTCTGTGCCTGAAGGCCTGAGCGCTGCCAGCACTGGCCCCGACACCTGAGGAAAGCAGCAACAATGAGCAAGGACAGCGTCTCCTCCCGCAACAAACACA